ACTTGTTATGTCTAGGTAACATTATACTCGCTGCCTATACCTAGTTTTTATTATATTTTAGAGCATTATTGTAATGACGTAATACAAACAGATTGCTACCATTGGAAGGAACGAATAAAAATAAAGTGTAGAACCTTGATATCGCAAGCGCAATAGAGCATTGAACTTTATTGTACGAAATGGATGATTTCTCGAAAATTAAGGACATGCAGCGTGGGCCTGTGTGTTAGTTACACAAGTATATATTGCAATAGGTTAGAGTAACACCCGTTAGGAACCGGTGATGGTGTCATTAAGATAATGGTGTCTTTAACATGTAGACGTCATAATATGTTCCGAAAATATCTTCTTCTCGATCGCTTGCTTCATTTCTGAAGGTCGTGCCCCTGAAAGGCCTCGCAATAAATGCTGATGGCCTGAAATTGCTCTCTGTGTTATTTCCCTCCATCTTGTCCTGTTTTCGGCTTCTCTCAGGGCTTTCGTAACAGAGAGTCCAGTGTAGTTGGCAACTTGGTCACACCATCGGCTAGGTGATCGGCCACGTGGTCTTTTTCCTTCCACCTTACCAACAACAAACAATTTGTCGAGGTTATCTGACTGGCGGCGGGCAATGTGACCGAAGTATCCAAGAATTCGCTGATAACATACGGTCGACAGTCTAGTCTTTATATCGAGCTGTTCTAGGATTGACCTATTAGTTCGTCTCGCAGTCCATGGTATCCGGAGCATTCTTCGCCAACACCACATTTCGAAAGCATCTATCTTTTTGCGATCTAAGGCTCTAATAGTCCACGACTCTGCACCATAGAGGAAGATAGGGAAGACCAATGTCTGAACTAGTCTCTTTTTGGTGATGTGGGAGATGTTTCTGTTTTGCCATATACGTGTCATTTTGCTCATTGCTGCTTTGGCCATTTGTGTTCTTCTTCGGATTTCCTGGTCACTTCCACCCTGGTTCGTTATCATAGACCCAAGGTACACAAAGTCGTTAACAAATTCCAGATCTGAGAGTTCATTAGTTTTAAGGAGTTGACCGGATCTGTCAATCTTTATCACTTTAGTTTTGGTTTTGTTGATCGCGAGTCCAAAATATATTTAATATATTATTATTATCAGTAAATACAAAGAAATTAGAGAAGAGATAGTAAACAAGATTTTTAGTTGAGCTCGTTTGTCGTCTGATTTTTCTACCCAGCATTTTCTTTTTTATAGATCAGTAGGCAAAGGAGGCTATGGATCACTAGATGGTAAGCGATCAGTGCCACCCATGGACATGTTTGGCATCCCTCCGCTCGAGAATGACAAAGGAGACTTTCAGACCCTTATTGACTTGAAATAATCCCGGTAGCGGCACCGGCACACGTCAGCATGGGAAAACTTCAGTAAGCAGTATACTAGTGCCAGGTGCCAACAATAACTTCCCACGCAACAGTTTGATTGTCAGTTCATTGCTATTATTATGTGAGAACTAGTTATTGTGGGCCGATATTGTAACAATCACATTGACACGGGAAAGAACACATTCTTACAAATGTCAATAAAGAAGCCACGACACATGTTCCAGCGTGCATTATCACCGACTAGCGACTAGTTTTAATAATTTAGTAATTATTACAGTGACTTTAACAATAAGGTTGCATAGACTGCATTACAAACGATAGGATTTCTTTTTAATGAGCAGACGGATCACCTGATGGTAAGCAATCGGCGTCATGATTGTCACCTGAAACACCAGAGGCGTTACAAGTGCGTTACCGGCCTTTTGAGAATTGGGAATTTGAGGATTGTGGGGGATTTGCGGATTGGGGAGAGGGGTTATCTGGCCTCCGGTAACCTCACTTACACGACTAAACACAACACAAGCGTTGTTTCACGTTGGTTTTCTATGAGGCCGTGGTATCGCTCCGGTCCTGCCGGCCCATTCGTCTCAGAGCATGGCTCTCCCACACTTAAATAAAAAAGGTTAAAAATAATATTGAATGTATGTGTAGAACAATAGCGTATCCTCGGCGATATGTAATTATTGTACTTGGTTAATTACAGAGTGTTTACGCCACACTTGTGTGAGTACAGTGGAGCACTCAGGGCTGAGTTACCGCGGGGCGCGCACCAACCGCTCTCAAGGCAATGACGGTTGCAAAACTTGGTGTAGTCAGTTGTAGTTGAAATTTTATTGAGTCTCTAGCACAATACTTACCACTAATTGTGGTCAACTGACCACAAGCATAGTCCTGCTATACATATTATAAATAATTATAAATGCTCAAGGAATTATTTTCTAAAGGATTGAAATAATCAGTCAGTCCAAGACTGAAGCTACTCTGACTTTCGTTACTTTCTTTTCGGAGGGGTTTAAAGTAATTGTAGCGACAAAACACTCATTGTACAGAAAGTCATACAAAAACTACAAAATGTATTTAACATGACCTGAATTGTATTTTGAAGAGCTGCACATAACTACAACTCACTTGAATCAAAGTTAATGATCAACCTTAATCTAGTTCGTAAGAGGCTAAAGATTAAGCAACATGCATTTTATAGTTTTAAACAATACAAGAGATGCATAATATATAGTTAGCGCTGTGACTGAACCATGCAACCCTTTATGTGGCATTATCAAGAAAAAAACATATTAAAAATATAACAATAACCATCTTGACAGATGTTTTGACATCTACAAGTGTAATGATCATCATTAGTGTCACATTACAGAGTCTGCACTCACACACGGATAACCACAACTACAACACTGTGTCTGATAAGCATCATCTAGTCACTATCACACTCGGTGACCTTCTGTAATCTTATCAATTTGTTTAGTTCCTTGTTTAGATTTGTGGTAGCAAGTGCAGGCTTTCCTGTAGATTTGAGACTGATCACAGTACTGTGAGTAATCTTTGTCTTATTTATACTCGTTAATGTAATCAGTTTGCAGCATTGTTCAAATTAAAGGTGAATAAATAATGATCATTAGTTAGTTAAGCCAGTATAGGATTTAATTGATTATTTCATCAAAATAAAATTGATTGAACCAATTATTTAGTTGAATGGTACTATTTTCTATTTTGTTTACAGTTTTAGTTTATTCATAATTTATGTTATTAATGTTTATTATTCATAAATAAAACCTGTTTATCATTATTTAGTGTACCTAAGTGTATTACATTTATTTATCTATGACTATGTCAAAGGTATTACTAAATACATATATATAAAGGAAGCTTAACTATGTAATGTAATGGCCCTTACATATTTTATTATTTTACCTGATAGTTAACACAATAACCTGTCACCGGACCTTATCTATTTGTATTGATATTAATAGTTTTCCTATTGGAATAATATTTTCATTATTTAACACTGATAACATTCCTATTGGATTATACTTACAAACTAATGTGTTTGGAAGATATTTATTGTGGCCTAGATCTTATTTATGATCTGATAACAATAAGGTATCAGTAGTTATTATAGTTTAATAGTAGGAGGTACTGATAATAGCATCAACTCAAGAAATATGTGTTAGTGTAGTCAACATGATCATAAACTAATAATTTCTTGCTTATCTGTATGTTACGATAAATGCTAGAGTTTATCTATAATCAGTCAGTGGATAACTTAGTGTTCCTATCATTAAACTAGAATGCCTTCAGTAAACAATATCTGAATGAGAGGTGATCACTATGTAGTATGATGTAGCACACTCAGGTACATCACTAGATCTCAGACAACTTAATGAATGCTTGTCCCACAGTTACTATCAAGACACAGCTCCATTAGTGTGCAATTAAAGTGATTAATGGAACATAATCTCATGCTCTATGGACCAGATACAAATGTTCATAAAAGTGAAAGAGCAATAAATGCAGCTGCTCCAATGAAAACATGATAAACCTTAAGACCATGAACTGCACGTTAAACCAAACAAATACGTTTACGTTCCGCCTCCGTGCACTGCACTGCCTGCGATTTCACATTACGACAAACCACGACGAACGGACGCCGAGACTAGGCCGTTGGAGATTTTAATTTTCGAATGTTCCTTTGTCCGCACCGCGGCCAGCCAGTGCGGCACTGTGGCTGTATACCCAACACAGCCTGACTCATGTACTCACCAGCAGTTCAGCTTCTTGATCGCCGTGAGGTCCGACTGCTTGGAGCGCGCGATCACCATTTCTTCAGTGAGACGAGCCATGATCCTGCACTGCACTGACACTGGTGTTACAACAATAAAACTGCTACCGAACTAATAGAGCTTTAGTATTCACGGCGAACTTTGCGCGGAGTACATTGTGGCGGAACACGCGACGAGAACGCGCTCCGAGCGCGGCCAAATAACTGAAAACAATAAGCGAGCGATGCGATCTCGCACGATGATTCCGTTCACTTGACGTTCGTTGGCGGTCGACTTAATTACGGTAGACGTTTCCACTGACTCACGATGATAAATTAACAGCTGATTTATTTAACATCGGCTTGAACCAAAGAAAGTCTACTTAAATTTTAAACTTAAAGCATCGTTTGAAACTAGCAATTTATCGTTTAGTGTGATCAAATTATATCTTAAAAGCACATAAAACTTTAGTAAAATTTTAATCCATTCGAATGAGTAAAATCTTAAAACACGCAAGGAAAACTATAATAGGAAAACGCGATTTTCTTCTTGACATTATTGACATCCATGACACTGACAGTTTCTGATCAAACAATGGAAACAAAACCGGAAGGAAACGTCATTTACGTAGTTTTTTTCAGTTATGAAAACTGAATTTGTTACGTTCTGACTATTTGGGAATTAAATCGTATAGATTAATCAATTATTTATTTAGGTGATAATATCTTTATTAAAACAACAAAATCAACAAAAATTAAATTTATAAATAATTATAATGATGGCAACTAAATAATGATGGCAACTAAACATGGCATGGCATATTGACGTCAAACGTCAAAATGACAGTGACTGTTGAATTTCGATAGTGACGTTTCGACGTCAACACTGTCAACAGAAGTTGCGGTCGTTTCTCGGCCTTGTGGATTATTTAACAAAAAACGCTGAAATAGTGATATAAATATGGATTCGAACGATATATTAGATGACAAGGATAGTGGGCCGGAGGTACAGATCAACTTTCCAAGCTCCGTGATGACACGCATCGAAGAAATGATGGGAGGAACGGAGCAGTTCGATAGTGCCGAAGTTAGTTTTGGATTTTCTTTAATAGAATTATATTATTTGTTGCTTTCTTACCTCTATTGAACTAATTGCATGCTTCTACAACTATTCCAGTATACTAACACGTTGAATACCTTTGTATTGATTCGTTGCAGTTCGTAATTTGGTGATGAAAACTTGTTTCTGTTTTGAACCTTAGAGGTTGAATGAATTTGTCTAGACTAGACAACTGAAATAGTTTAAGTGCTATTAAACTATTATACCTATATTTTGACTATACTCAAACTGGATAAATTTATTATTATTTTAAGTAATGTTCATTAATACAAAACAAAGTATATTAGAGTACTGTGTAAACAATAAATAAACAAACGAAATAAATATCATCATACATATAAATCTATCTATGAGCCGTATATGAATTTATCCTATATTAAAACAAGATGAAAACTAATAAAGGATATTATAAAACTAATAAAAGATGTTATAGTGGTGTAATTTAAAATATCTCCTTGGTTACCAGCCTAAGTTGTGCATATATACTTGTCCATTGGACCATCAAAGCTTAATTCAATAATTCATCTGCTGCAGTGTGTATACTGTATTGTCATGTATTTATTGTGACTATCACAACTATATTGTTTGAAAGATTTACTTGTGTAAATTGTTTGTTTACCAATCTGCTTGCTGCAGCAGGAGAGGTCTGAGATGTCGTATTGCCCCACACTCTTCAAATAAACTTACATCTCTCTTTAATCAAAGTTTGGTTTAAATTTTGTAAAGAATCATTCAAGAAGTAATTGTTAATAGCACAATAAATATAAAAAATTATTGCTGTTGTTGGTCTTGAATTGCAGTTTGATGCAGTAGCATACATCAACCGAGTGTTCCCGACGGAGCAGTCTCTGTCGGGCGTGGAGAGTGCGGCGGCGCGCTGTGAGTTCCACCTCGCCGGCGTCGAGCACGACATACGGCGCCTCGTCAGGGCGCAGGCCGAGCAGAGGGACGCCGGCCAACAGGCACTGCTGGAGGCTCAGCGCTGTATTGGAGAATTGGCGTTACAGGTGCTGACATGTTGTTTCCACTGATGTTTTAACATATTATAGGACTACATTTCCAGACTTCAATCCTCTAGCAACTAGGTAATTGTTGGGCGAAGTGCCAAAGTATTAAAAATTGGGAATCTGAAAATGTTTAGTACATAATAGCATGGAACCAGGAGACTGGTAACTCACTGGACACCACTTTATGTTCCATACGGTCAACAAGCTCATTTCCTATCAAGGTCTTGTACATTACAACTGCTCAGTGTTGCGTCGCCGTCTCGTCCCGCCGCGCCGCGCCGCTGTGTGCAGAGACCTTTACATGAATGGTAGAAATGGTACTCTGTAACTGAAATGAAAAGAGTTATTGTATTTAAGATGTGTGTACACCTCTGCCTAATCTCTCTTACATCTACCATTTCCTATTTCCAGGTAGCAGACATAAACAAGAAAGCGGAGCGCAGTGAGAGCATGGTGCGCGAGATAACGTCGGAGATCAAACAGCTGGACTGCGCCAAGTCCAACCTGACGGCCGCCATCACGGCGCTGAACCACCTGCACATGCTGGTGGGCGGCGTCGACACGCTGCGCGCCATGACCACCAGTCGCCAGTACAAGGAGATCGTACTGCCCATGCAGGCTATCATGGAGGTCATACTTCAAGCTTACTGTTTCTGTTCATTTCTGTGTAGAAGAATATTGATGCTTTGAAACTACAAAGGGATAAAAGTTTTATGTAGAATGCAAAATATAAACAAGCAATTAGGGCAAAAAAAAAAACAGTTTTTTTGATTTAATGCGTTGATACACCCTAAATTTGTTCGTATAAAAGTATTCTCTAATCATTGGAAATGAGGTCGGAGCAATGATGTAGGGAAATCGCGTTATAAAATACCAATAAATTTCTGTAGGTTTCATATCATTTTCTTTTATATATACAGGTGCTACAACATTTTGAATGTTACCGTGAGATCCGCGAACTGAGCGTACTCCGCGACCAGGTCACCGCCATACGAGCACAGCTAGCCGCGCAGATACTACAGGACTTCAAGGATGCATTCACTGGTACATACTATTTACACTCCGCCCAAACTGATACACACACCGACCACATGCCGCCCACACTGGTACACACACTGCCCACACTGGTACACACAATGCCTACACTGTGTGTACATAGCCTATATTGGTTCACGCATAGCCCACCGTGGCACACATTCTGCCCACTGTGGCACACATACCACCCACACTAGTATACAGACCGCCCACACTGGTAAACACATCGCCTACATTGGTACACACGCCGCCTACACTGTTATACATGCCGCCTACACTGGTACACACGCCGCCTACACTGGTACAAACACCGCACACACTGGTACACACACCCACCTACACTGGTACATGCACAGTCCACCGTGGCCCATATACTGCCCACAGTGGCACACATACCGCCCACATTGGTACAGTCACCGCCCACTCTGGTACACACCCTGCCCACACTGGCACACACCCCGCCCACACTGGCACATGTGATTATTATATTTACGTTACAGCGGGCAGTAAGGGCGGAGTATCACACCGCACTCTGTCGGAAGCATGCGCCGTGGTCGACATATTGGAGCCGAGAGTTAAGAACGATCTGCTCAAGTGGTTCATCAATATGCAACTACAGGTACAGTTTATTACGACTCGTGAGATACAATATATTCATGCACACACGGCTAAACATGAAACTATACAAAACCGGTATAAACTGACCGTTGAATGTGTGGAAAGATCATACAAGGCGAGGCCATTATAAATTGGTTTTGTGCAGCTTGACGAGTAGCTCAGTTTCCCTCGCTCCTCATTCCAGGAGTACGAGCATTTATTCTCCGGCGAGCAGGAGTACGCGTGGGTGTCCCACGTGGAGCGTCGCTACGCGTGGCTCAAACGACATCTGCTGACGTTCGAGGACTCCCTCGCCGCACTGTTCCCTCACTCCTGGAGGCTCAGCGAGAGGATCGCGCAGCAGTTCTGTCAGGTTCGTACTACTTGACACACGGGCTGTCGCAATGACTGACACTGGTCACAATGACACCGGAGAACAAATGGGACTACGGTAACACTGTGACGCTATGAGATGGGGACTGTACGATACAGTGACACTGAGACCCTGCATGACACTATAGACACTTTATGACACATTCTGACACTAATGATACAGCCCGACACCAATGACACAGTCTGACACCAATGACACAGTCCGATATCAATGACACAGTCTGTCACTTATGACGCGATCTGCCACCAATGCCACAGTCTGCCACTACTGATCCTCTATGCGTCTACTCATCAGATGACGTGCAGTGCCCTGGGCACCCTGCTGTCGTCGCGTCGCAGTGAGCTGGACGTGAAGTTGTTGCTGTACGCGATACAGAAGACTTACAACTTCGAGCTACTACTGCACAAGCGGTTCACTGGTACGTACACTCCTGCCTACCCACTACACTGGGGGTCAATTCTGACCTGACTGAATAGGGTAGTTGTCTCAGTCAAAAACAAATAATTTTATTTATAATTTATTATTGTTTGCTGTCACCACTCGACACAGGCAGTATAGTCGACAACATAGTATTGGAGACTCGGTTACAAAAAAAGAGAAAAAAAAATCACATTTCCTTCCTTCACGTAAAATATAAATAAGTATGAACTATCCCTTAGGCACCTACACAATTACTAGAAAATTCTCTTTAAACATTTTGAACAAAGTATCCAATTTCCATATTTGTAAACTTCCCTAATATTTTGATTAAGTACAATGACAGTTTCAGTGCACTGCAGCGTTGCAAAATTATGATGTAATTAAATCGATTAACGACTCGATGAATAAAATCCATCACTGTTTTATCAAATATGGCAACATTATTTTACAAAATGACAGAAACTTATTGAATCAAATAAAAATTTAAATATTTATCGCCGATGTACACAGGCACAGACCTTGGCGCGGAGCCCCTAGATGTAGCAGAGAACAAACCAGACACACAGACAGAGCTGGAGCCAGGGACCCAGGCGGGGGCGGGCGGGGGCCCGGGGCCCGCGGGGTCGGCCTGGGTGGGCCTGATCGGGGCCTGCTTCGAGCCCTACCTGTCGCTCTACGTCAGCTCGCTCGATGCCAACCTTAGCGAACTCATGGAGCGGTTCATACAGGTAACGTTGATGTTAATGAAATAAAATTAAAATTGTATTATACATATAGCATTCATGGTCCTGCAAACTGGACATGTAAGTATACAAAATGTTAGTAATGAAAGTTATCTCAATCGGTTGAAAATATCTGCTTAAAAATTAACTTGCAAGATTACACTTCTCACACACACACACACACACACACACACACACACACACACACACACACACACACACACACACATATACATTCTCACAAACATAAAAAAAACTCACAATTAACTTTGTGTATTTATTATGATTTATAAATGTACTTGGAGATGTCTTCATTCACAATCATTTATTTAAATTAAACCAATCGGGGGCTGTTGTCACTCAAATAAAATATTCAAAGATAAAAATATCTAGTTGCTCTATTTGCTCGTTCCAAACTGTAGTTCCTTATATATAGTATCCTTCCGTACCTTATATATTTGCTCCTATTGGCTATTACGAGGCATACAATACAATTTCTTCGGTTACATTCCAGGACGCGAAGGCCTCATCCTCGTCGGACAGTAGCGCAGCTAGTGTAGTGGGTGCAGGCGGCGCGGGGGGCGCCGTCATATCATCCTGCGCGGACTTGTTCCTGTTCTACAAGAAGTGCCTGGTCCAGTGCGCCAGGCTCACTACGGGGGAACCCATGCTAGGTATATATTGCACTAGCGACCCTCTCCGGCTTCGCACGGACGCAATATGCATGTATTATAGATATAAACCTGCCTTAAGAATTACTCTATCTATTTAAAAAAAACCGCATCAAAATCCATTGCGTAGTTTTAAAGATCATTTATACATAGGGACAGCCAGACGGCGGGTAGCGACTTTGTTTTATACTATGTTGTGATATCACATGCGACTCGTAATATTACATTAGCTGTATATTATGTACACCTCTGTCTACAGCTTTGAGGATTCAAATGTACTAGCGACCCGCCCCGGCTTCGCACGGGTGCAATATGTATATACATACAAACCTTCCTTAAGAATCACTCTATCTATTAAAAAAAACCGCATCAAAATCCGTTGCGTAGTTTTAAAGATCTAAGCATACATACGGACATACAGCGAAAGCGACTTTGTTTTATACTATGTATTGATTTAGTCCAAAATCCAACAGAGAATGTAAAGTAGTTCCGTATCGTTCTCCAACCGTGCTGAAACAAGTGTTGTTTGTAATACAATGGTTAAGTCGTCAGTTATTGAGTACCTCGTGTACATGTGTGTACACGTGTGTACACGGTGCCCCCCCCCCCACGTGCTCGTGTACAACGCACGTGTCGCTGCGCCGGCGCATGCCTAGGTTTTGTTTAAGAAAAAGAGGTTCTCTGTTTGGCATGGCATGTATGTTTGTCCGCGATTATCTCCCGATTGGCAAAACCGATTTTGATGCGGCTTTCAGAAAAGTGTTACACTTAGGAGCAGGTTTTAGTGTATTAACTGACTACAAAAAAGAAAGAGGGCATAGTTGTTTAATTAAAATTATATTAAATCTTTGACTGTCTCCACAGAGTTGGCGGGAGTGTTCCAGAAGTACCTCCGTCAGTACGCGAGCGGAGTGTTACAGGCCTCACTGCCTCGCGCCATGGGGGCAGCACTGGCGCCCTCTCTCGTCACCAACCTACACACGTTACTGAGGGACGATGACACGAGGCATGCCAGGTATACTCCGCTCGAGCTGGCCAGGATCACCAGCGTCATCACCACGGCGGAGTACTGCCTCGAGACCACCGTGCATCTGGAACAGAAACTCAAAGAGAAGGTGGCCCCAGCTCTCGCAGACAAGATCGACCTCACGCCCGAGCAGGATCTCTTCCACAAGCTCATCAGTTCCTGCATACAACTACTAGTACAGGATCTAGAGCTAGCGTGCGAGCCGGCTCTGTCCGCCATGTTGAAGGTATCCTGGCTGCACTGGGACGCGGTGGGGGACCAGTCCTCGTACGTGACCCAGATATTGATGCAGCTCCGCAACACAGTCCCCCGTCTGAGGGACAACCTGTCCTCGTCCCGCAAGTACTTCACCCAGTTCTGCATCCGCTTCGCGAACTCCTTCATCCCGAAGTTCATCCAGAACATATACAAGTGCAAGCCGATGTCGACGGTGGGGTCGGAGCAGTTGTTGCTGGACACCCACATGCTGAAGACGGCGCTGCTGGAGCTGCCCGCGCTCGGCGCCGCCCTGCGCCGCCCCGCGCCCGCCACCTACACCAAGGTCGTCATCAAGCTCATGACCAAGGCCGAGATGATCCTGAAGCTGGTGATGGCTCCGCTGGACGGCCTGGACGGGTTCGTGTCCCAGTGCGTGCAACTGTTGCCGGACTGTACGCTGGCCGAGTTCCACAAGGTGCTGGACATGAAGGGCGCCAAGTTGTCCAAGGCGCAGCAGACATCGCTCGACGCTCTCTTCAAACAAACTTGTAAGAACGCCAGCGGGGACTCCGCCAAGTGAAGCAGTCACTAGTACATGTATTATAGTAACGTATTTGTGTTGAGTAAGCTTACGTACGGCCACTACAGGGCATGCCATACAAACGACGTGGTTACTAGTACACTAACACCACTCAATAACATTATATAAACTCTAGTCGAAGCTCAGAATCAAAATCAAATGTGAATAAATAACTTCTTATTTTGTCTCTGTCGCACACGTACATTTTGTCACCTGTATGATAGAGACAAGAGTATGTATCAGCGGTTTTGTTATGGAATCAATGCAAATCGACTGAAATGAGATTAAAAAAAGCCCATATAGGGAGGAGGATAAAGAAGAAATGCGAGTATTTCTCCCAAGTTAGTGTTTATTTTGTTTGTACATATTGACTGTGTGTCTGTTTGTATGTCTGAGAGAAATGGCACGTAACGTGTCTGTCAGTTGCTCCATGTAGTGATACTACGTGACAGTAATCTCTATGGAAACGTGTGAGTAGTTAGCGAAATATTATTATTTAAATTTTACAGTGTGGAACGTCGAGATATGTCATGATTGTACAACATGAATTTCTTTTGGAAGGTGAGAGCCTCGCGTGGTTAGAAAGTATGTTGGTTTAGTTATAGTTTCACCGCAAATATCAAATCCTCAATGACACAATATCACAATATATCATAAAATAATCACCTGTATAGTTACGTCATTATTTACTTTCATTGTTTTATTTAGTCAATGTTTTATTTTATTTTTTGAATTACTCTTTATGTTCACGACTGTACTTAGACTTTTTGTATTATTAAGTTAATAATTATGAATTAAAATAAACTAAATGACCACTCTAAGTGCCTATCCTCATTGTAATAGAGGCTAGATTCGCGTGAGTTTAGTAAGATTTAGTTCAATTCTTAGTAGATGTGTTTATGATTGGACAATGACATGTGTATTTAAGTTCTTGTAATTATTGTAAGTTTGTGATAATGTCGACATTCCACTAATCAATATCTTTATGTTTGTAATGTGCAATAATATTATCAAACAACTAATATACATTTTATACAACTGTGTATTTGATTTCATTTTACATAAGCTATTTGTTTTTACAAAGCTTCCGGCTATGGCCCAAATCTACTGCAGGCTACCGAAGAGTCAGCTCTGTGTATAGGTTATCCTATAAATATAATAAAACATTTCATTTCATTACATTATACGATCGTACTATATCGTACTGTTCTATAATTAATGTGAAAAGTCAGTCCATTTATTTTATGAGACATAAAATACTACAGAAATAGTATTATTTCTGTAAAATAAAGAGTCCTTTTTTTAATATAATAATACAAAATGTTTTGGATATTTAAGTCGTTTAATCATTATTTAAGTCGTTAGACTTAAATATTATAACTCAACTGTCCCATTTTTGTCCCAAGTTTTCACTGAAGAAAGTTTATTAGTAATAGTAATAGGAGAAAATAGTTAGTTGTATAGCAATTCACCTGTAAACACACCCGTAGTCTAATAAACAAGAAGTATGAATGCGAATTACAAATAATACAAGCAGATTGTCGTAAAAGTCTGCAACAGCACTATAAAATCGAAAATAAAAACCGAAATAAAAACTAAACAGTTTCCTATCCAGATTAGGCTGAATAGCATGTTTACGGTTGCCTTTCCTGTTTTAAAAAGTCAAACTGTAAACAAACATGGTTGAAGCGAAACGTCAAAATCAGTCGGTCGCCGAATGCGGCGCGGCGTGTTGTCGTTTTGATAATAAATATTTGAGAATGGTGCATTTTCCGGTGCGAAAGTGCTACCAGGCGGCCAAATTTGTGTTGTTGGTTGTTTTGGTGGTGACAATCTTGTCTCTATTCGAGCAGTGGCGAGGTGGTAAGAGGAATGCACGAGCCGAGTACTCGGATCCAATAGAGGCTGAATACGAGAGGCAGATATTAGAAGACGAGGCGAGGATCATCCCCGGGCTGGGAGAGGGCGGCGCCGCCGCTCACCTGCTCGGGGAAGAGAAGAAGCTGGGCGAGGAGTCCGAGAAGAAACTGGCCATCAACGTGTACCTGAGCGACAGGATACCGTACAACAGAACTCTGAAAGGTGAGGCTTTGAAACGGAATAGCAATCAGTACAGCTACATAAATTATGATAATGAATGCTCCTAGGAGAACGGCGAGTAACAGCGCGCATATGAAACAAATTATTACTTTGGTATTTGCAGTGAAAGTAGTGTCAGTTCAGTGTCCAACTGGAGTAGCAGTGCACGCCGCGCTCTACATGTACTGCACTATATTGGACTGCATGTCTATTAGTTTCATGAATTACATTGTAAGAAAGAACTTCTCTCGTCTCACTATTTCTTGTAATTTATTTTCTCATTCAAGTATCCGGCGCATGATATCCTACTATACGACACAGGCCTACTCGACTTATAAAGTCGCGATTTGTGTTTAAAAATGGAATGCTGCTCATATCAATGTCATAATAATTAAAGATAAGTAAAAGTGCACAAAAATTATTCAAAGATAAAAAGTTGCTAGTATTGTGATAAGGAACCAGTAAGCAGAATCTATTTTCCTTATCAGTGGCAAAGGATTAATTACGATTTTCATCATTGCGTGGGAACGGTACGGTTAAGTCCTAAATTTATGTTAGGTGTTTAAACAACACATAACATCACAACTCTATACCCGAAGGGGTAGGCAGAGGTGCACATTATGGCACACACAATGTAACACTCACTATTCACTATTTACATTATGACTCCCATGTAATACCCCTATTAGTGTGAGACTATTGCTCCAAGCTACTTTTGGTTTGAACCTGAGGTTTTTTTTAAAAAAACCCAGCAATACATTACTCAACCTGGGAGTTGAACCTGAGATTCTTTGCCAGTGCCCCTTGGCAGTTGCAATTGCGACCACTCAGCATAAAAATTGTTATTTTTTTTATATTTGTTTAATAATTCTTTCATTTCAATAGGTACCTTAAGTTACGTTCACATATTTGGTGCCACTCTTGGCTGAAGTGAACTAATATTAATGTATGTAGTTCTCCTTTAAATGAAAGACAAGTCCTCATTGTTTGTGTAATGTGTGTTTGTATAATATTTATTCCCTAAACAAGTAGTGTAAAGACATAGTGTAGTGTCCCTAAGTCCGTCACTTACAAAACTACATGTAACATTTGGCGGCCAATCATTTTATTTTACTTTAGATTACTAGCTACTGCTGTGCGGTTACACCCGCTCTGTTCGGTTACTATTGGATGTAGTGGAATGTTGTATAGCCCTAACCCTCCTCGATAAATGAACTATCTGACACAAAAACAATTATTCAATTTGAACTGGTTGTTTCGGAGATTAGAGTGTTTATACAAACATACAAAATTTTCAGCAATTGGGTAGGTAGGTACTTTACTTAATCAAAAATAAATTAATTCGAATGTTCAATACAAAAAAATATTAAAAAATTATCACACTTTCATTAATTGCTTTTATGACCAACTTGATTTCGGTATTTTTTTTAAGAAATAAGTACGCTGTTTGACGCTAAAAAAACGTGACGTCACAATATACCATCTCGTACAAAATTCATAGAAAACGGTTGTTTTTGACAGTTCGAAAAAAAAGTACCAAATTATAATATAACTAACTACTTCCGCGCGGTTTCACCCACTCTGCTCGGCGCCTATAGGTCGTAGCTTGATGTTTCATAGCCTATAACCGTCCCCAATAAATAGGCTATCCAAGACAAAAACAATTTTTGAAATCGGGCCGGTAGTTCTTCAGATTAGTACAATTAAACAATTAAACAATAGTTATGCCCTTTAGTAAATAAAATACATCATTAATATCTTATTATTTACCAATTATATTGCATCGATGCATGCATACATGCTAGCTGAGTTCCACCTTGCGTAATACAGCGGAGTGAATATTATCGCGTGAGCTAGCTGATAGCAGAGACATTAAACCCGCGTCTAATTGTAATGCCGCTTGTTACAACCTCGTAACAGACTCGACCGAGAATAATCTATACTTTATTGCTAACAAATTGAATTATAATATATTTATTTCGCTATAATACGGGTAGTAAACAACACGGTGACAGGTGGCAATCAAGTAAAAGGTAGGTAGTATTTTCACAGTTGTCGTAGAAGTCAACAACAAACCATACAGTTGCCGAAAACTGTGAAGTCAGTGTCTGATATAAACCTGAACTTTTTGAACTGAGAATAGAATTATTTATTTGCATTGAATTTATTGCATGTACGCATGCTGACTGCTGGTACATTCTACCAGATCACGATGCGGTAAAAAGCGCTTTTGTGTGTCATGTACTTTTTATTCATAAAAATTGTAAGCAGTCCTTAACTCGTCGAGTACCGTCATTATAGACACAATTATAGAACAATAGGTTGCGGTCACCGGTGTCCGCTTGGTGTTTGAAAGTTTAATATAAAGTAACTATGTAGGTAGATTTCACTTTAAATTGAATTCCAAGAATAACAATTAATGAAATCCAATCTTAATGAATTAAAGTCGAAATTGCCTAATGAAACCTTTGATTCAATTTGACAATATTTAGGCAAATTCTTACATTTCTGTGGTGCTATGTACTTCATATACAAAATATTGGGAGACAAAGTAAAATGAAATATACGGTTTACTCAGTTGTCCAAATGTGACGTTTTCCGAGTTATATGTAAGTACTACTTTCTAAGATTATTTAGACACCACTGACAAACGGTGAAAACATCGTGAGGAAACCTGGGCTTATTATTTCTAATTATAAGTTTGAAATTACTAATACGTTTTGAGCAAGTGTGGTGATTAATGCTCAAACCTTCTCCGTGTGAGAAGAGGCTTTGCTCAGCAGTGGGCATGTATTTTTTTTTTAAGGGGGAAAATCATCGAATGACTGCTCCCGCCTGGGTGAGGCGGGAGGGAGTGTCAGACTCTTACTGACTAAAAACCACCCCGTTCCTTCTCCTGCACGTCGAGTCGGAGTCCTCATACATTTCAATATACCAACATATTATGTTAACAATTTGTGGTACTCAACTCTCAGTGAACAGCGAAATATGTTTTTTTTTTCGTATCCGTCTTTTCTATTTTTTTTTCTCGCAATACCATCGAAGTAGGCCGAGATATCCATCCCGGTAATTCTGTATACCCTATTCTATCTGTAGTGCGAGGGGGACTGGGATGCCGTCTCCTCCTTTTGCGAAGCAGTCATGCTAGCTAAGGAGGAGGCGGGACGCGTGAGGCAGCGAAGCGCTGCCTCCTCGCAACCCAGCCATCGCGAAGGACACACCGGGCGTCGGGGATCGCGGGACGATCTCCGGCCACCGTAAGCGCGGGCCTGCGGACGGCGAGCATGGGTGGCTCCCCGTCCGACCAGAAACAGACCCGAGCGTACGGCGCGTCGCGTTCCGCGCGCGCCTCAAAGAGCCATCAGACCACCACAGATGGGGCCCAATAGGGCCGATGCCGATTCGGAGTCGCGGAGAACCTAACGGGTAACCGGGGCTCCGGCTCGACGTGCAGGAGAAGGAACGGGGTGGTTTTTAGTCAGTAAGAGTCTGACACTCCCTCC